AAAAATGTCCTCCTCATAAAAAAGTTCATATTTTCTTCACTCTCTAACAATGAGTTTTATATAATTTAAATCAATTTTAACACCCTTTTGTTATCAGCCACAATAATTGATTAATTAAGGCAACTTTGTGTAGAAAGAGACTGTGTTAATAAGAGACACAAAAAATTGTTGACATTATGAGATCTATGAATTAAATCTCAATTATTTTTATGGGTTTTTACACACAAATACTTGACAAAGAATATTATTTAACAAAGATTTATGTGGGTTTAATTTTTAACATGTTTATTGCTACTTTAGATATTTGAACATTTACAGAATGCCATTTATTTCTTTTGTAGAGTTACCATTAGAAAATGCAATATGAAACTTCTTGGGCTTTATTTTTTATATAAAATTATATTAAACTATAAAGAATGATTGTAATGTGTGTTTTTATATGTTGGCTTTTATTTTCCATAGTACCATATGAAGATTTGTTCATCATGGCTGTTTTACTATTTAAAGAAAACAATAGCTGTACTAATCAAGGAAAAAAAATAACATTGATAATAACAATATTGCCGTAGCTATTTATATTGCTTGAAATAAAACATGTATCAAAAGATGCATGTGGATGGTAGTAAACATGCTAAGCAAATCATGTCTGTATATTTTTAAAACTCATTGTTGAAGTTTGAATATGACTAAAATGAAACCAGAATAAGCAAAGTTTTTAAAGTCTTAATTTTTTTTCTCTTTAGATAGTTCTTGTCAGTTTCATATGGCATTTCACATTTAATTTATAAAAAATAAAATGTGTTAAAATTGTTAAAAATAGTGCATATTACATCAAACAAAACAGACATAGATGTGCCTGCAATAAGACAGCATCAAAAAGATGTTTTTTTTCCCATGACACCTTTTTTGTTTTTTAACTACCTTCACTCTTTGGCAATGTTTATTGTTTTAAAAAGCAATGATTATAGTTGGAATAAAACATAAAAACATGATGAAAGTGAATTTATACATTTTTTTGTTCTTGAGAATTTACAACAAAAATATATTAAAAAAAATATTAAACACTATTTAGTTATTAGATTTATTTACAAGAGTAATTTTATATTTACATATAAAAAAAACTAATACAATTAGAACTAATGCAATGCAATATTTATCATTTACCAATTTATAAAGAAATAAATGTGAAAACAATTTTTTTATTCATAAATTTATAGACATTTACTAAATTATTAAAATATGTGAACTATAAGGAAATCCTTATTTACCATTTTATAAAGTTTGAATAAATTGGCAATTACCAAATTTTTGTTAACCATTCCAATGAAAAATATAATAGTGTAAATAAACAATCTAATAGTATTTATTACTTCTATTGTCAATTCTCAAGAAAAAAGAAAATGTATCAATTCACTTTGTTATGTTAAGCATTTGATTGTGAGAGAAAGGAATAATGAGGATTAGATTTTGAACAACATTTATTGTTTAATATGTCATACAGATATTTCGAAGCTAAGTGAAATGTCAGTTTCAGTGGCTGATCATCAGGATGGAAATTAGATGTAAGGTAAGTGCTGGGAGCTGACCTATTTCTTGTGCTAGTTTGACCAAGGTCACAGGATATGGTCAGTGCATATGTTGGCTGATCGAGGTCATGGTGATGGGTCAAGGTATGCTGAAGTGACAGCAGTGGGTTGCCGAGTTGATGAGTTTGGTATCAGATTGGTGTGGTTGGTGGGTTTGTTCTATGGAATGGGGCTGTGATGATGACTGCAAAGGGAATCCCTTGCACATATTGGTTGATCTAGGTCACGGTGGTGGGTCAATTTTGTTGTTTGGTAGGGAATGCTTTTTAAATGAGCTGGATATGCCGTGGTGGTAGTTGTGGGTTAGATTGGCATGGTTGATATTTGCTGAGGTGACGAGGTCAAGATGTTATCATGTCTAAGCTGGATAGTTGAGGTGGTTAGTCAAGCCTGGGAGTGGTAACGGTCATTGAAAGGAGTGGTAATGTTGAGAGGCAGCAGTGATGGTGATGGCAGCAGTGTCCTGTATGTCAGCCTGTGGCCTGCAATTGCTGATTGGCATTGGAGACCTGCTTTTAAGCAAGTATGCTAGTCCCCAGGAGCATCTCCTTTTCCAGCGGGAACATTCATGATTGCAGGGGCTTGCTTTAGTAGCCAGATGTAATGTGTGAAGCCTATGTGCAGAGAATGATTTTTTTTTTATTTTGTTCTCTGCCTGTGACGTTCACATCCAGCCATCATGCAGAATGAATCAGAAAGAGATCTAAATGCAATGGAGTATAACAACTTTCATCATATATTTAGATTTTAATCCAATTCTAATCATTGCTTTTTAAAATAAACATTGCCAAAAAGTGAAGGTAGTTAAAAAATCTGTGTCATACAAAACCTCATCCTTTAGACAATCCATCTTATTGCCGGCATATTTATCCATATTTGCCTTATGTCACATAATTTTACCAGACATCTGGGTTAACAGTGTGAATTTATATTTTTAGTTGTTCTCTGTAATACAAGATTTCTTTTACAAAAGAAGATCATATTATTTTATTGAGAAGTATCCTGTCTTTTGATTATGCAAAATACAAATGATGTAATAAAAATAGGAAATTTAAGAATATGTTACTGTAAGATTTTTTAGATTTAGTGAGATGAAAGCAATATCATTTTTTAATATAACTGTCACAACACTATGACTGGGTACATTGAAATAAATATGCATCTCATTTTTGGTTTCTGTTTTTTTTTTTTTTTTAAATCAAACCCTAATTAACTATCCACAGATTTTGTGGAGTGAGCAGCTATGGTCAAATGCTAAATAATTAACAGAACTATCCAACAAACTGAATTGACAAAGTTTACAATAAGCAATACAAAAACAAAAAGAAAGGGACAGGGCAACAAAATAATATAAAGCAAACAAACAAAATATACAAGGCAAATGAACAGTAATATGGCAAAAAGTTCTCAAACTAAGAATTGGAGTTGATGCACAAAAGCATGTTTGGACAAGTGAACACAGTATTCTGACTTCAAGACAAGACAGACCAGAACTGAATTAGATGAAACCAAGAACCTGAAAAAATCCCAGCATGCTTTTGTGTGCTTCTGCCTATAAATTGGTGAGGGGCAAGTGTTTTGCAGTCATTCGTCAACAGGTTTGGATGAATATGCTTCTTATTGTTGATTTTATCATTATATTTTAATAATGCAGGTGCCTAATTCATTCAATAGGAGGAGTTTCCCTACTATAGATTGTTCTAGATATAAACGATAGAGATTCCTTTAGGCAGTATAAATATTTTTCTGGATTTAGAAATAATTTATTATAGGAACTGTCTCCACATTTGTGGGAGTATTAGCCAGATAAAAAGTAGCAATAAAAAAAATAAGATGAGTCTGAATAGTTCTTAGGAATTGATTCTTTTAAAAAAATTAAAGATAATATTAATCAAAGTGTAGTATTATAAAAAGAAGATATGAGGTTTACATGAAAATTCACAGACAAATGCTAGACATTACCAAATTCTAAGATTTCTTGCCAAGCCAAAACATCTCACCCAACTCATCATAGTTATATATCATAATCTATGATTATTTTGTGATGAAAGATTAACCTTTGGCTGAAATTAGGCCAGAAACAGACAATAATATCAAAGTAATAATCCATATTAAGTATCTCTGGACATAACAGCTTATTAACTTACTCTATATTTATTATTATTATTAGTTTTTTCTGTTTTATTGTTGCTTTTTATCAATTGAAGAGTGTGTGAACCTTGTGATAAAAATAAATAAGATGGAGAAAAGCTAGTAATAAAATAATAATGAAAATGTTTCCTAATAAAAAAAATACCTATTCTCTGTATTAAAATATTTTTATACTGCTGAAGATAAAATATCATATGATATTTAAACTTTAATATTTACTGTCTATATTTTTGTATAAGACAACAACTTTATTATGATTACCAAAGATTCAGATTGAAATGAACAATAATTGATTTAAAGAAATCTTATACTACATATTCAATACAAAGTGTTTCTTTATTTCTTAAGCAAAATATTGTTTAAATATTTCTTTTGTGATATGTATTCAACCACTACTGATTAAATAACAGAGCTTTGACTGACAACCAACCTAAGAGTAGGATAATTTTGAATACAAAACTGTGGAGAAGGCAATAGGAAAACACTATCTTTTTCAAGAACAGTCAGAGTAATGCAGATTTTACAGATATTAAAGAAAAAATCATTACTTATGTTTTGAAGGGATATAGCACTTAAGAGAAGTATGTAGTTAACCTTTAACATTCTGGAGGTGACTCAGATGAATGAATGATAGAGTGTATGAATTTTGCAGTTGTGCTGTCATATCCTGCTATGGCAACAGAAGTAGTGCAGTAGAGGATCCTTGAAAAACAATGCAGTGGAAAGGAAGGGAGTGAATAATGCAGTGTGTTAATGGTTAAATATAGAGTAGAGCATCTAGCACTAAAAACAATGGGAGTATTAGTCTTAACAATTCTTAGGTAAAGATTCATCTAAAATTGCCCCCCCAAAAAAAAAAAAAAAAAGTTTTGTAAAACAAAGAGACTAGGATTCAATGAAAATAAACTAAACATATAAACAGTGAATAATTTATCAACCTCTTATATAAAAACAACATTTATGCAAAGTAAATTCAGATCGATTTTCCTTGTGGATACTGAACTCAAAACTTATAAGAATTTATTTCTTTCAGCCTCTCAGTTAAAACATGTTTTAAATTATATTAAAAGTGTATAAGGAAACTCTTTAGCTTTTACGAAGAGTTTTAGAAATACAATGAGTTAATGTCAAAGAATGAACAATAAAAGAATTTAAAATTAGTTAATTTGATATGATATATCTAAAATGAATATTAATGAAAACAAGAGTTCAAGTTTTATCGATCAGTTATTTTTTAATTTAAGATTTAAAATTTCCACTTACCTGTGTGTACAAATGCTATTAAATTCTGGCTGACCATATCCTGTGTAAATGAAGCTAATTCTTTGGAGGTGTTATTAAGCATTGCTAGGTAGCCATTATTTGGTTCTGTGATCAGAAAGATGAGATCTTCTTCGTCAGAGTCAGGATCAGTGGCTTTCAGATATTCTCCAGTCAACAGAGTGACTGACTGATTCCATACCTGCATACCTTTGTTTATAGTTACACGAGGTAACTGGTCATTAACTGGGTCTACCTTGATGTAGAGTTTCTTCACATGGCTTTTGCGTCCATCATTTTTCAATTCCCCTGCTATGAATAAATGATCATGTGATGTTTCACTATCATCATGTACATAATAGATAAGTTCATCTTGAAGTTCCTGTGAAGTAAACTCCGTGATAGGTTTTCCTTTGTTTGTGATGGACTCCAGCCAACCAAACTCGGGCTGCTCTGTGATAGTGTACACCACCAGCTTGTCCTCAAAATGTTTACCACGGATGCGGATATTTTCATCACTGAGCAGTTGACGCTGGCCCTCAGCCACGGAGACATTTGATAACTGCAGGGGTAACACCTTGGGTAGAATATCTATAACAAACTCAAGACTGTGCAGCTTTTGGAATCCATTTGTGACATCAAACACAAAGCCATCTGTATTGGTTTCAACATTCTTCTGAATTTCCTGATGCACATATTTTAGTTTACCTTCATTGATATCATCTTGAGTGAAGGTAATGTTATTTTGGTCCGTATATGCTGTGCCAGCAATAGAAAGGAAACCATATTTGGGAGGAGAGATTACGTGATAGACAATATCAGCTGGGAATGAATCTGGGTGGCTGATATGCAGATAGGAATTGGTGATAACCACACTTTTACCTTCATTGATCACAACAATCTTGTTGTGAACAACATGGGGTGGGTGACGCTGGCTCTCCAGAAACAGGAGGATTGAAAATAACCCTTGAGTTTCGGAGGGACCGGCCTCAACAGCAAATCGAAAATAGTCATCAAGCTTGCTTGTGCCATTATGCACATATTTCACAACATTGTTGTATATGTCTTCCAGAGTAAAAGACTTTACCGTTTGATCATTGATCATCAGCTGACCATAGAAGGGGCCAACAACTGTCAAAAATATAATCTCTTTGTCTTTGACATTTACATTGGTCTCAACACTCAAATTGGAAGATGTAATTACTGAACTACTGCCATTCATTACCGAAATACCAGTGTTATTGAGAATTTTGACAAAAGGACCTGAAGCCTCAATTTCAAGAATGGCCCTTGTCTTAAACTGACCATCAGTAACAACAAAACTGAAATGGTCTAATGGAATGCCAGTGTTCTTGACCAACAGAGTTTTATCAATGAGATCCTGTTGTGAGAATTGATACACATAGCTACGATCTGAAGCACTAAGGAGTAATCGATCAGATACATCAGTAAGTGTATACTGCAGTTGACTGTTGTCAAAATCGATATCAGGGTCATTAAAAGCTAAATCATTGATGCTGAGTGCCCGTTCCCCATTTAATGTAATATGGAATGGCTTATCAATCAAACGACGTGGAGCATTGTCATTGCTCATCAGAATTTTGATATCAAAATGTCCTGAGAAATCAGAAAGTTCTTCCTGGGTGCCTTTGGTGCCTATAATTATTGGAGTAGCACTAAATGTGAAGGAATCAGTATCATGTTCAGAGTTATCATGCTGATATACAAGTTGTTCTTCTCGTATCTCTCTGTTGGTGAAACTTTCAATATTTGAATTAAGGATTCCTTTTGAATGTGGATCAATGAGACACAACTTTCCATGTTGCGGAGTTTTGAAAACAATATACTGAAACTCTCTGTGCTTGTCTGTTTCAATATACAAGTCTGCACGAGTTATAGCTTTCATTTTTCCTTCGATGACACCTTCCAGACCATTATTAATATAACGCACATCAGTCTCATTGGGTATGTATTCTACGTGAAATCTAAGCCGACGAGGGAGAACTCCTTTAACAGATAAGCGCATATCTATGAAGTCATTCAGCCCACTGTACGACTGGCGTTTCAGGTTGTAATGAATCATATTTCCACGTAACTCAGCTAGTGTGAATGATCCTTCTCTCTGAAGAGGAGTCAGTTTTTTCAGCACAGATGTTGATGTATCAGGCTTTGCTCTATAGAGATTACCAAAACTTGGTGGTCGGAGTAACGTAAAAAAGATTTCACGAGGAGGAATTCTCTGTGTGTTCAGGCTTACATCAAGATATTTGGTTGAAATGATTTTTGACATGGTGTACCTTAAAATGAGCTTTTTATTAGTTATAACATTTACCTGAACATCTACAAATTTTATTATGAAAGTCTTAGTATTGGTCTGTGCATTCTGAGAGGTTACTGTAAATTTGAAAAAGTCTGCTTTTGGAGTGGAATTAAAAGCTTTGTTAAAGTAACGGATGTGTCCTGTATCAATGTGACGCTGGGCAAACGTGGTGACAGGTACCCATGCATTGTTCTCATGCTTGCGGCGTTGGATTTTACCATATTCTGGGCCCTTGATAATTTGGTAGCGAATCTCTAGATTCTGCCTTGGCACATTTGTAATGGTAGACAAATTTTTGGATGTGATAAGACAATGAGACCCAATAGGCAAATAGATGCCAGTATTAGCAATGATGGAGAGTCGGAGTTTTTCTGCTCGAATGAGCAGGTCGGCAACCCTTGACTTTGAACTTTCATCAGTTACATACATGCGAATAAATGTCATGGATGAACCACGCTGAACAAGCCAAATCTTTCTAGTATTGATGTCATGTTGAGAAAATGATTCTATTTGTACATTTGGATTATCTGACTTTTCAAAAAAGCATTTAGATCCGGACTGGTATTCAACATGATAGATCAAGTTTTCATCATCTGTGTCAGGATCATCAGTTGTAAGCATTGTGTTAAGGATCTGGATTTTAGAATTTTGAACCACTTGTATTTCTCCATTTGGTGGCAATCTTAATATTGGAGGATCATTTTTTGGAACAATCTGAATAGGAAGGATGAATCTATATTTTTGTTTCAATTCTGGCACAAGGTGAAAGCTATTGCCAATTACTTGCACTTCAACAGTTATATCATCAGATAAAGTATCGGTACCATCATGATTGTAAGCTACATTATCTTCAAGAAGGTCACGTTGGGTGAATGTTGAACGTCTCTCCTTTGATGAAAGATTTTCAATGGTACCATGTCTCGGAGGAATAAGTATAGTGAATAAAATAGCAGATTCCCGGATGTTATATTTCTGGTAATCAAATTTAATATCAATATTGCTGGAAGTGATAGTTTTTTCTGTTTCTTCTTCTACCACTAATTTCTGAATTGCCACAAAATTAAATTTGTCATTTATATTAGGGCTGGGGCTGGTCACAACAGGCTTTAAGCAGTTGTCTGATGGACAGGTGCACTCAAAGTTATCAAAGCCAATTTCTTCACATTCAGCATCCTCAACACAGGGATTTGATGCACACGGATATTGCCATAAACAAGAAGGATCAATTTCACGACTGATTTGTATGTCACGGAAACCAAACTGACGTGAATCAATGAAGATATCACGGAAGCAACCTTGGATAGAACCAGCACTGTTGACATCTTTAAGTGATAGAAGACCTCTTTTAATAGCATGAATTCTGGTTTTGAGTCGAAGACCACCAATAAATAAATGACCACCTAAATTAATGAATTTTTGGTTTCCTAAATTGGAGTGAGTTGAATTTTCTTGCCCATCTACTCTCAGAATCACTGTCTCTTGACGGATGCGCAAGATAACCGAATGCCACTTGCCATCAGTTACTTCTGTGTCTGAGAATAGTTCTATGATACCATTTCCTTTATTAAGGGAGAGTTTGATTTTGGAGTTGATGATCTCCAAAGCGACAAAATCAGGGCTGAGTGGCCGACCTTCATTAAAGAGTAACAAACCAGTCTGGGTCCTGGTCCGGAAGTCAAATGTGATCTCTCCTTTCTGCCGTATACGTAAATGAGGGAAAGCAACAAAGGAAGAATCTGAGAGCAAAGTGATAGGTTGGTCCGTGTCAGCATCAAATTCACGGTCACATGACCAGGAAATTTCAAATACATTGAGAGGATCTTTCAAGCGCCGCGCCTTCTGTACGATGTTTATTTTGTTATAGAATACTTTTTCCATGCATCCACGGAAGTTGCGGATTGTAATGGGAACATGTTGATAAGACCCTGTACCCCCAAGAAAGATACCTTGATTAATGTTTAGACTTAGGAAATTTCCTGTGGCTTGTACAGATGTATTGGAAGATTTGTCAATGGTGAGAGTAGCGGTGTTGTTTCTTCGTATAAACTGGATGTCATGCCAATGGTGGTCATCAAGGCGTTGGTTTGGCTGCGAATGAAGACTTGCGCTTCCAGAGCCCAGATCAAAGTGAACATGTACAATGCCAGATTTGAGTTCCAGTACACAGTAGTCAGGTAAGCCTGCAGCCAACAACAGCAAGCCATGAGGACGGTGGGTTTTAAATCGCAGTTTGATTGTTGTACTGCTTGAAGACTCTTGCAATGGCACATGGACATAACTCTGGCCATAGAATGATACTGCAACAAAGAAATTAAAAATATATTAATTTTATATACTATATTAAAACACTTTAAATTTTATCTTCAATGTTGTAAAATAATAACAGAATTCAATGAAACATAAAAATCCAAACAAGGATATTCTAATAAATATGTTCCAAATTTATAAAAGGATAGCTAACCTTACAAATATAATAATAGAAATCTATAAGAGATTTTAGTACAATCTCAAAGAACAATTTGCTAATGTAGAAATTTGATCTTCACAGAGCTCTGCACTAATGTGGTTTTGTGTCAGATTGAGCTCAGCTTAATAAATAACTAATTTTTTTTAAAATCATTTCACCCCAAGCAAGGTAATAAAACCACTAAGATGCAAAGTGTTACTGAGTGTGAAATATATGAGAAAAAGTAAAAACATTATTAAAGAGGGAGAACAATAAATGAAGAGAAATTAAGACAACAAAAGATAATGATTAAGACTGCATTTAAATTTTTTTAAAATCAAAGTGGGCTGGAAAGCAAGAGGCTGAAAGAGAGTATTGCAAGTGAGAAGTGTGAGAGAAGAAACTGTTAGCATAGAAGTTATGGTTACATCTATCCATTTCAACTGTAAAATTATGAGACCTAGCTACCAATTTAGTACTGCACTTAAATTCAAGAACTATTTCAGTAGATATACTATTTTTGCCTGTCATATAAAGTATACTTGATTTAAAAAAACAAAAAACAAAACTCCCTTTGTGTCTTATACCCCAGTGGTTGGGTTATCAGTACACACAATGGAGCCTTCTCTCAGCTTTTGCCAACAAGACAATGAAACCCCACATTTCATTTCTATTCTCTGGTTTATATCAGTGTGAACAAAAGCTGGGAAAGGTCCATTGTATGCTCACATGAAAACAAAAGGTGAAAATAAACATTGCAGCAAAGCTTCAAACTCAGTTTTCGGTGTTTTGTTGTATATTTTATTGATTCTCTTGCATGGTCTGGATAGGTAGTTAGGTGACACTTGGAAACAACTTCTGCCATTTCAGATTAACAGATCAGCTTTTCCCCTTCAACTAACAAGATCTCTGACATTCTTCTACCAACTCTTTGCTCATCTCTACATCACAATATTTGTCTAGCAACTTACTTGGTAGACAGTGTGCATCTAGTAAAGGGCAGCCAGCACTACTTCAATATCAACTGTGACTATTAACATAAGTCTGCAACTGGAAATCTTCAATATTCAATTTGTTGTCACTTGTTCCCAAAAGCTTTCATTTATTTATCCATTATTTTATTTACTTTTGGTCAATTGGGTGGCCACTTTGAAGACCCCACTTTCAGAATTTACTGTTGGCCATGAAAATACAAAAAACAGAGATAAAATCACTCACTATCCCTTACTATGTGGGTGTCCCAATCATAGTGTCACATCAGTACAAGAACAATTTTGACACACTAGTTCCAGATTATCCAAGAATGAAATGTATATGGCTATAAATAATTACATTATAGCTACAAATAAATATAAAAAAATATAATTATGGATGAATCATTGGTTGAATATTATCAATTTTTCTTAAATATTCATTGTTTAATCATCGGTTTATTGTATACCAAAGCATGTTATATGGCAGGAAATATAGAACACATTTTCTATAAAAATGCAAATAAGTAAAGTTTACATATCTTGCGGTAAAGTTTAAGACCCACTTCAATGATGCTGTAGTGACAGCAACAAATAAATTACTAAATAATCCCCAACCCATACTACTAGTCTATATAGACATCAGGAACCAATTAATAATAAAAGAATTAAAAGTTAAACAATAAAAATACTTTAAATTACAGATAAGAATGGTAATTAACAATAAAGAAAGAAAAAATTAAATTATAAAAAAATAGTTAAATAAATATAGAATTGTTATATAGGAATAAAGTGTCACTGCCAAAACTGGAGTTTGAACACAGATCACCAGAGAGCAAACAAAGGCAACCCCATTTTGAATAAGTAGATCACGTGATGGTAAAGGAAATGTATATATTGGAATTAGCGTGATGTCTAAGTGATCACTATACAAATCACTTTTCAAGCAAGTATTATTAGTGCTAGTTTTATTTGAAGGCATCTGACACCAGCATTGTTCAGCAGCATTTCTATAGTTGTATCTGCAATTACAAAGTCTCTACTACAACGAGCACTACGGAAGTGACAATAAGTATTCATTGGCATTACAAAAGGGGCAATGAGTGTTTGTTGACATCACTTACATAAGGATTTGTTCAATTTACACAAGGAAAAAAGTGATCAGCAAAATATTCAGCAGAGTGCAACAGAATGGAAGAATTAAAAGTTATCATGGTTCAAATGTTGCAGCAACAAAAACTACAACAAGAACAACAATTGCAGCAACAAAAACAACATGAACAGCAATTACAACTACAACAACAGAAGTTTTTTGAGTTGTTTACCAAAACGATGGAAGAAAAAACTTCAAATTCATTCACTCCAGATGCTGTTTCTAATTCAATCAGGGAATTTGTGTACAATCCAGATGAAGGAATAACTTTTCCTGCTTATTATAGAAGATATGAAGGGATCTTCAAAAGGGATTGTTTGCATTGGAATGATGAAAAGAAAGTTTGGTTATTATTAAGGAAGTTGTCCCATGTTGAACATGAAAAATATGTAATTATATTTTGCCAAAAAAAACAGGAGAGATAAATTTTGATGAGACTGTTCTAATACTATCAAAAATTTTTGGTGATAGGAGTTATTATTTAATACAAGATGGCATTGTCTTAACTTAGTAAAGTCCGATGATGAAGATTTTGTCACTTATGCAGGAGTTGTGAATCAAGAATGTGAACAGTTCAAGTTAAATGAATTAATTCCTGATTTATTTAAATGCCTAATATTCGTACAGGGTTTAACTTCTAATAAGGATGTGAAGAAAAGATCCAGGATACTTGCTAAATTAGAAATGGGATCCCAAATTAACTCTTCAGAAAATAGTGAAAGTGTGTCAACGTATAGTGAATTTGAAACTCAATACTGCAAGGATTGAGGAAAAAGACAATTCAGAGGTACATAGTGTTCAACCATCCAAGAGAAAAAACTACAAACATTTTTCAACTAAGAACAGAACAGTAAAAAAAAAAGACTATAAACCCCCTTCAATACCTAATACTTGCCATGGTTGTGGAGGTAAGCATATTAAAAGCAATTGTTTCTTCAAGAACAAAAAATGCTATGAATGTGGGAGATTAGGACACAAAAGTATATGTTGCAGATACAAAAAAAATGGAGAAAAAATAAAACATATGTGAACATGATAAACACATGGAGTAATGATAAAAAGTCTAAAAGTGAAATTAACAAGATATCTCAAAAGAGAAAATTTGTTTTTGTGCAAATTAATAATGTAAAAATAAAATTGCAACTAGATACAGAATCTGATATCATTATCATAAATGAACAGACATGGAGTAAAATGGGTATACCAAGTTTATTGACTTCTGATAAAGTTGTGCATGGAGTCTCAGGAAAGAGATTGAACTTTTAGGGTGAATTCAGCTGTAACGTTTCTTTTGTGGGAAAAACCAAAAAGTGGTGGTGTTTGTATTAAAGAATACTGCTAATTTGTTTAGAACAGACTGGATTGCATTGTTTAATCTTTGGGACTTTCCAGTTAACTCTTTTTGCAACAAGATAAATATTGTTACCCCCAGTACTGATATGGCAACTGAAAAATTGAAGAATGAACTGGAAAAGAGTTTTCCAGAGGTTTTCTCAGAAGGTCTAGGGACATGCATGAATGCAAAAGCTAAGTTTGAGTTAAAAGAGAATGTAATACCGACATTTTAAGCCAAAAAGGAGTATACCTTTTGCAGCCTTAGATCCAATTAATCATGAATTGGACAGACTAGAAAAATTAGGTGTGATATCAAAAATAGACTATTCTGACTGGGCATCACCAACAGTCTACATTAGAAAAAGGAATAATAACATCCGTGTATGTGCTGATTTTTCAATGGGGTTAAATAAAGTTTAAAACAACATAATTACTTGTTATGAAGACCAGAGGAAATTTTTGCCAAATTGAATGGAGGTAAATTTTTTTCTAAATTGGACCTGTCAGATGCTTACCTACAAGTACCAGTGGACAAAGACTGCACAAAATTATTAACAATTAACACTCATAGAGGGTTATACAAATTCAACCGACTTCCTTTCAGTATAAAGGTAGCACCAAGCATATTCCAACAAATAATGGATAACATGCTTGCCAGTTTGCATTGTGCTCAAGCATATTTGGATGGTGTACTTATTAAAAATAAGACCCAAAAGCAACATGCAGAAGATATAAAGAAAGTATTTGAAAGAATCAAAGAATATAGTTTTAAGATTAGTGAAGGAAAATGTGAGTTGTTTCTGTCCAGATTTAAATATCTAAATTATTGATGAAAATGGTAGATAACCGGATCCTTCAAGGACGAGCGTGATAAAGGACGTGTCTGCTCCAACAAATGTAACAAAGTTACAAGCATTTTTAGGGTTTGCTAACTACTATCATACATATATACCTAATATGCATGAATTAAGAGCACCTTTAAATAACCTGCTGAAGAAAGATGTGAAATGGAATTGGACAGATAAATGTCAAAGTGCTTTTGAACAGATCAACAAGTTTTAATATTGAATTTGTCACTAGCTCATTTTGACCCTAAATTAAAGATTGTAGTTGCATCAGATGCAAGTGATTTAGGTATTGGACTGGTGATACTACACAAATATAAGGACAGAACAACTAAACCAATAACTCATGCCTCAAGATCATTAATTGTCGCTGAAAGAAGCTACAGCCAAATAGAAAAGGAAGCACTGGTCATCATATTTGCCATGAAAAAGTTTCACAAATTTATACATGGTACAGAATTCATACTACAGACAGACCATCATCCATTATTGTCCATATATGGACCAAAAAAGGGTGTTTCCACACATACAGCAAATAGACTGCAGC